TCTATCTCTCTATTTAGGAACATTTAGACTTAGGTTTGTGAATGGAAGATGTTGTACTCATTGCCCTGAAACCATACATATGCTCAATTTTCATTTATATTAATCGTGCTAGGAGAATTTCATCCATGAACTTTCTGAAAAAACTAGGTTAGAAATTAGGGCCAGAGAAATTCTCTCTGGTCTTTGAGAGTTAGATCAAGTTTTTTATATGGTTAGATTCGTGATTTGATGCTCTACAAGTTTTATGTTTTGAGTTTTGTCAAAAGATTACAAATACAGGAGATACAAGTTTGTGTAGCAAGCGCGCATTTTTTCAAAGTCTGGAGGAAGAAGATGAAGCTGATGGGCTGGGCTGGCTTGTTTTTGCTTCTAACACTTTCTTTTTTCAGTTTCACACCCCCTGGCCCATTTCTTTGTATTTTTATTATTTTTGCATTTTTATTTCATTTCTGACTTTGATATTTTATTTTTAAATATAAAAAATGCTCCAAAAATATTTTTATAATTTTTTACATTTATTTGGTATTTATGTTAATTATTACTAGCATTAAAACATTTTATATGCTTTTATATTGGTTTGTTTAAATTTAAAAATAATGCAAATAATACTTTTATTTTCATTTCTATTTTTTATTCACACCAAAACTATTTTCTTGAATATGTTGTATTTTTATAAATATTTTAATACTTAACATATTTAATATATATATATATATATATATATATATATATATATATATATATATATATATATATATATATATATATATATATATATATATATATATATATATATATATATATATATATATATATATATATATATATATATATATATATATATATATATATATATATATATATATATATATATATATATATATATATATATATATATATATATATATATATATATATATATATATATATATATATATATATATATATGTACATATATACTTTTGTTTTATTAAATACTTAGAAATAAAACACAAAAACATTATATTTTATTTTTATTATTATTTATACTAAAAAATACCTTTTTTTGGATATATTTCATTTTTATACATATTAATATATTTTTTTTTATAAATAATACATTATATTTATTTTCTTAAGAAATTAGGGTTTTTGCCCTAAAAACAAATAAAATTAATATCTTATTTATTTCTTTATACCTTGTACATTAAAAAATACTTTTGCATACATGAACAAATAAAAACTTTTTTTTGCATAATACATTTTATTTAATATTTATTTATTGTATTTATTTAAATATTGTACATTTAAATATTATGTCTTGCAAATTCAATTTGGTTGTAATAATTTAGAGTTTAATTTCTTGCCAAATAATCCCCTATTCAAATTTGTACCCCCTCCCTATATCATGTTGTAATAGTTTAGAATTTAAATTCTCGCACCTTTAAGCTTTCAATTATGCCATGATTAGAATTATGGTTTGTATGCAAAAATAAAAACCAACAAATAGTTTGATCTAATCAAAGACAAAAAATGCATGAAAATCAAACACAATGTACACTTGCACCCCTAGGGTTACAATCCACTGGTTGCCTTCAAAAAATGGGTCATGGTATGCATGTTGAGTACTTTGGCAAAACAAAAACAAAACAAAGATCATAGTCCCTCGATGACGCTATCTGAGTTGCCTAAACAAAATGATCAAGTCCCTCAAGAAAATTGCCAAAAGTACTTGACACTATTGCTATCATGGTCTATACGATGACCCGCGCCTGTCCCATTTAACATCCTAACACAAGGTTGTTCACCAAACACAATGGTGAAGCAACACTGTTAAAAGGGTTAAAAACATAAGAAAGACATTTGAGTAAAATAGGGTAGATAGCTCTTAGTTACTTGATCAAAACTTGCAAAAAAACATCCTTGCTACTTTCAAGCACACTTCACAAACACAATTTCAAAACCCTACTTTCAAACATTGAAAACTTTTCAAAAGACAAAAACACCTTTGTATACATTCAAACAAGAATCATTACAAAGGTTGCCATAACAATGGCCTCTTTTCAAAACATCTTTCAAAACCACACACAAAGCACCATTTCAAACAATTGACGAGCATCATTTCAAACAATTGAAAATCAAAGCAAGTGATCTAAACAAGTAACTAAGAGCCCATGGATAACCATGGATAAAAAGGGTGATAATACCTTTCCTTTCTATAATCTACTCCCCGAACCCAAGAAAACATCTCAAAGGTCTTTCCTGTGCTTTTTGACCTTTCCTTAGGATAAAATAAAAAGTCGGTGGCGACTCTTGCTAAACCGAAACATTTGCGAACACAAACGCAAAATCCCAAGTCAGTTCTCCCACCGTATCACAGATGACATATTGCTCACATGAAGTTCTGAACAAGAGATACCTGAGATCAAGAAGGTTCAGATGAATGAGTTTGAGATGACAGATCTTGGGAAAATGAGTTTATTTCTAGGGATGGAGTTTATGTACTCTGAGAAAGGAATAATTTTGCATCAAATGAAGTATGAACTTGAGCTTCTGAAGAGATTTGAGCTAGAGAGTTGCAAAGTTGCTATCACACCTGCTGATATAAATCAAAAGTTGGAATCTGATTCTGATGGAGAGGATGTGGATGCTACAACCTTCAAATAGTTGGTTGGTTCTATGAGGTATTTGTGTAATACCAGACCTGATATTTGCTATGCAATTGGAATGATTAGCATATTTATGAGTAAACCAAAGTGGTCCCATTACCAAGCTGCTGTCAGGATTCTGAGGTATGTGAAAGGAACTCTGAAGTATGGAGTGTTATTTCATTTTGGAAGAAAGATTGAATCAGAACTTCTAAGTTATTCAGACTCTGATTGGTGTGGAGACAGAGTTGACAAAAGAAGTACTTCTGGGAACTTATTCAAATTTGTAGGAGGTCTTATTTCTCGGTGTTCCAAGAAGCAACATGTTATTGCACTATCAACTTGTGAAGCTGAATATATTGCAGGCGCTCTGACTGCATGCCAAGTTGTGTGGATTCTGAACTTGTTGCAAGATCTAAAGATTAAGGTAAATAAACCTCTGAAGCTGGTGATTGATAACAAATCTGCAATCAATATTGCCAAGAACTCAGTGCTACATGGGAGAAGCAAGCATATTGAGACCAAATATCACTTTCTGAGGAATCAGTTTCAGAGTGGAATATTAGAAGTTGTGCACTTTAGCACCCAGACGCAGCTGGTAGATGTTCTAACAAAGGCTATCAAGACTGATCAATTTCTTCGTTTGAGGGATGAAATTGATATTGTCAGTTCTGTGTAAATATAAATTAAGGGATGGTGTTGGAAAGAATTTATACTCTAGGAATATCTTTTTATATCTTTGTTATAGGGTATTTTAGTATTTTATCAGATCCTAATTTTGTGTATAAATAGCCTAGTAGTAGGTAGGTAAATGTAATTCTTTATTCCTTATTTTGTAACCGTCATTAAATATATTTATTTTGTCTTCCATCTCTACTTTGTGCACCAACAATAACTTCTATATATATCCTGACAACTATTACAATTTGATAAATTAAATTAATATTTATATGATAATCATCATTACAACTTTTTTTTTTGTATTAATTCTTATATATTTATATACTTTTTTAACCATAACTATATAATATTTATTTTATATTTATATCGATTTTGCGCGAGCCGTGCAATCACACGGATCCTTTACTAGTTTATATTTAAAAAAACATAATCAAACTTAAGAGTAGTATAATTAGTTAAAGCTAAGCTTGATCATGATAACTAAATTTGTATTTCTTAAAGTAAAATAAAAACACAACTAAAACAATATTTTTTATAAAATTAAAACGATATCTTAATTAAGAATATAAAAAAATAAAAATCTAAAAGTTAAAAACGTATACAATATAATCATCATTCATATGTTACTCACACTATATTTCAATTTTCTTTCTATCACCGATTCTTCTTTTGCAATAAATATATACAAAAAAAAAACATAACCTAATTACCCAATAACCAAAAATTAAGAATAAAAGAAAATAAAAACTAAAAAACAAAGATAAATTATAAAATATTAACAATAACGAGACAACATGATTGTAAATAATTCTTTAAATTATGAAAATGAATGGTTTTAATTAATAATAAACAAAACAAATAATAAATATTAATAAAATAATTTGTGAAGATGGTTCGTAGTAAAAAGTGTTTAAATTTTGGGATCTTAAATTTATTGTTTTTCAAATACATAATTTTAAGAAATAAATGATAAATTAATATTAATATTAATAATAATAATAAAAATTAAATTAATCTTAGTTTTAGTTCCAAAAAATTTCTTAAGAGACTTAATAGTTTTAATTAATAAGATATAATTTTATATCATATTTCTCAAAAAAGTTTGGCATTGCTTCTTACGGTTTTTTTGTCTATTAAAATGAACTACCAAATTCTTTAAAAAATACAAAAATAAAATGCAAAACGTACTAATTTACTCAAATTGTACAACCGTATTTTAATTTGGCTCATTTTAATTAAATTATGGAAAGATTCCTGTAACAAGATTTTAGAAAAAGATATTTTTTAACAATAAGATTGACTCACTAACAAGGGTTGCCAGAAGATTCCTGTAACAAGATATTTTTTAAATAACTTTACTTTTTGATTTAAATTGTTTTTGTTGATTTTAACTTTATAAAAAAATTAAATAACTTTATTTTTTGCTTTAAATTAATTTTGCATAAAATAAAGAGGATTAGCTAGAAAGTAAGTAACGAACTACAGATCTAACAAATAACAAAAATAAAAAGAGAATCATATTAATAAGATAGAAGAAGAACATAACAAGAACATAAAAACAAAAAAAAAAGTTGGAAAGCTTAAAGTTTCGACCAAGTCGAGAAACTAAACCTAAATGACTAAAATACTAATTAGGGAAAGAGTGAAATAAAACAGGTTTAAAAGTATCTGAAGAACCTCCCAAATATCAGATTAACGTAATATGGCAATCAAATATTTGAACAAACTAGAAACTTGTGAATTTGTATGATTGTTGTTGGAGATCAAGGATTTCTTTACAGTTTCTTGAAGTTGACGGGAAAAAAGCATTGCGTAAACTGAATCTGCTTTTGTTCTATCAAAAGGGATACCGAGTTTGCTGTTTGGGTCGCATTTAGCTGCAGTTTTCAGACTACGAATACAACTTACTATATGAATGTCATAACCAACTGATAAAGTATATTTAAGCTCGAAAAGAAGAAGGATACAATATCCAAACATTACAAGGATGGAAGGCCAGTCCAATGGAGGAAGCTCGGAATCCATTATTTTGTTTTCATCAGCCTGGGATGGCAAACTAATGAAATGAGGCTTGATGCATATTTCATGCAGTGCTGTCTCGATGTTGGTTTTAAATCCAGGAACGACAGAGCATAACATAGAAGCAATACAAGCACATAAATCTTTGTTATTCTTGGAATCCAAGGCAGCCTTATAAGCCATACGGAAAGCCATACCATTGATGTCTCCAGTTGCATCTGGGATATAGAAATTGCAGTTTGTTATGACTCCCATCATTTTGATTTCTAACTTCAGTTTTGGTTGGTGTTGTTCATCTTTTGGGCTGTCGTTGTTAGTTTCATTTGTGGAATTCTTCATTGTGGAAGATGAAACTGTGCTCGGGTTTTGTTTTACTTGAACTAAAGAAAAGATAAACCATTGTATATATATATATGAGTGTAGTCTCTGTGCTTCTTCAAAAAGAGTATTCGAAAGATCATAATTTTGGGAAAGCAAAAATTAAATTGAATTAACTCTTTCTGTTTGTATTGGAAATGTGATATCAAGTCCATCAAATATTATATTATTGGGAAGGACAGAAGAAAAGAAATGCAATAAATGTACAATAATTCTGCTTCACTCGTTCAATTTTCATAATTTCATCCTTTACTTTTTCTTTTTTTTGAGAACATCAATGACAATGTATTCAAATATCGGTTTGGACCGGTTGGTTGAACCAAAAATTGAAGGGATAATTGGAATTTGAATTATGAGTGTCTTAAAATATAAAAGAAAAAAAATTATTTTCATCATTTACAAAGTAAAATATATGTTATTTTATATTCTTTTTCATCTTTTTTATAATTAACAATCAATTAAAATTATTTTTACAGCTTTTTAAACACTTTCTTTCAAAAAAACTATAAATCAAATGATTATACTTTTATTTTTTTAAATAAATGTGTTTTTTATTTTTTCTTTTATATTTTAAAATAATAAGAGTATCGTTTAGCTTTTTCAGTTTGGATCAATAAAAAATTATGTTTGATAATTTTTTTTAGCATATGCTTTTAGCTTCTTTATTTTTTTTTAAAATTATTTAAAGTAGTTTTTAACTTATAGTTTTCATCTTAATTTTTTTATTTCTTTTTCATCCTTTATATTTTAACTAATATTTATTTTTTCTTTATAATATATTATAATTCAATATAAAATAAATTATGTTTTAAATACATGAAAAAAAATTATATTTTGTATTTGAAAATAAAAATCAGGAATCTCTTACTACAGATTTCCTTTATATTTTTCATGTGTCCTTTTCACTCCACCTTCCACCATTCTCTTCCTATGCCAATGTCAAATTTGTTCTCTCCATTGCTCAATCATACCCTATCATTCTATAATATATATATATATATATATATATATATATATATATATATATATATATATATATATATATATATATATATATATATATATATATATATATATATATATTATATATATATATATATATATATATATATATATATATATATATATATATATATATATATATATATATATATATATATATATATATATATATATATATATATATATATATATATATATATATATATATATATATATATATATATATATATATATATATATATATATATATATATATATATATGGTATTTAATTTGTACATATATAAATAAAGAGGTTGCTGTAAATTTCTTAACGGATCCACAAGAAGGGAGATTGACACTTAGGTCAATATATGTTCTAGTGTGAATGTGGATACAAGAGAAACATATGAGTGCGGACTTAACTAAGGTTTCTCCATTGGTGGGGTTGATGACCGGAGATTTTATTATGGACAAACAATTCTCAAAGTCGTTTCAAGTAAAATGGTCAAACGTGAGAAAACCTATTTCGACAATCAACATACTTTCATACCATTTGTCTTTGACATTTTTTATTTCCTAGCCACAACAATATTAGATCTTTTACAGAGAATCCAAAGACATGTGCATAAAAATATTGTATCTCCTAAATCAATGAAGAGGACTGAATTTGTTATTAAAAGGTGTAGAGACGCAACTTATTGCATGTTTAGTGTATAATTTTCATTATATAAAAAAATAGAAAGTTAAAAAGTGTTTTCTTAATATATATATATATATATATATATATATATATATATATATATATATATATATATATATATATATATATATATATATATATATATATATATATATATATATATATATTCTGGGCGGGTCATATCTCTCTTATCCAATCACCCTGAAAAAGGAACATTTCAGACCACACGTATCAACCAGCTACTCATTCGTACTTCTAAAATCTTCTCCTACAACTTGACTATAATGAATCCAGTTGCAGGAGATTTAAGTCTCTGGAACTTCCAACAGTACTTTGCATTCCATTATCGAAAGATAGCGAGATCGTTATTCATCTTTCTTATATATAGGGAATGACGTCATTTTAGATAATAATTTTTAAACACAATTTGAATACTCTCTACTTATTCATATACAGACTTGAGCGTTGAAGTGCTAATCTTGAAGGTGCACCATCGCTCTATCGCTCCAGAATCTCTATTATGTCGTAGTTTCTGTAACTCTATATTTTTTGTTCTAGAACAAAACAGTGGCGCAGTCTGTGGGAATGGAGTTCTGATTCTTGTGTTTTCTACAATTCTCCATCTATACATTCAGTTTTCTGGTGTGGAGTTCTCTTTAACCTATAAACGAAGATCCAGTAAATCAGACACAAAACTTAATCGTGTTTGATCAAATTGAATTTAATACCAATAACGATGTACAAATTCTTCAGATCTTCAGTTCTTCGTACCACTACGCCAAAAATAAGCTTTAGCAGCACACATACGAAAGCGCTTTTAGAAAAAAGCGCTGCTGTAGGTATTAAAAAAAATTCGCTTTCAAAGGGTTCCTTAAGAAAGCGCTTTTCAAAAGCGCTGCTAAAGGTCACCCTTAGAAAGAGCTTTTTGAGAAGCGCTGCTAAAGGGTGCCTTTCAGAGGGAACCTAAGAAAGCGCTTTTCAAAAGCGCTGCTAAAGGTCAGCCTTAGAAAGTGCTTTTCAAAAGCGCTGCTAAATCTGGCCTTTAGAAAGCGCTTTTAAAAGCGCTGCTATAGGATATGCTACGAAAGCGCTTTTTTATGTAAAAGCGCTGTTATACATGACCATTAGAAAGCGCTTTTAAAAGCGCTTTCGTAGGTTGTTTTATAATAAATTTTATTGTTTTTGATTAAAGGTGTGTTCGTACTGTGGCTGCTGTGTTTCCTTTCTTCCAACGTCCCAACCCCCAAATTCGTTCCTGTTCCTTCTTCGTCCTCTCACGATAGCTCTTTCCGTTCAATCGCCACCATCGTCAACTCTCATCGCCGCCGCACGACTCGTCCCTCTCTTCACAAGGTTCGTACTGTGGCTGTTATGTATTCTGAAATCAGTTTTGGTTTTCATTGATTATTATTTTCTTCTCATTCACAGTGTATTGGTTGTTGTTGTTGTTTGATGATTTTTGAATGTTTCCTAAAACCCTTTGATGATTTTTTTGTTACCTTTTTTTGGAGCAATGGACGGTTTAGTGTTAGGTGATTATGTTTTAAAAGTTATTGAGCGTTTATTGAATAATCGGGCACGGAATATATTCTTGGAAGCTATAGTGACATACAAAATTCTTGTTTCATTGATTAGCAAGCACAGTTAGTGTTTCTCATTCACACTAGTTGGACGGCAGGTTGTGATTCCCGATTAAGGCTCTCTGTCTTTTGATGTTTGTTTAATGTGTTTTGGAAATTAATCGGTTTCTTTAACTTCTTCAGGACCTTCCGATTCAGAGCAACATATCTCACCGGAGAACTCAAACGTGTCAAATCATCAGAAAACAAGAGCCATATATCTCACCGGAGAACCGCTTGCCACAGGAGAACCGTCAGGTGATTGTTTCTTCTTTTCAATCTATACAAAATATTTTGTCCTTTTTGTTTATTACAAAATTTCGTATCAGAAAACATATCTTAGACTAAAATGAGGCCATGCCATATATAAGAAACAGATGAAGTTTGGTATAGGATAGCCCTTGAGTTTGATGAAACAAGGGTGTACTAGTATATAAGAAACAGACATGTAGAGGGTTGTGCTAATGATGTTGTGTTGTGTTAGTGAATGGTGGTGGAAATTATGATTCATTAACAAACGGGGTTACCCATTTCACATTACCATTCATTATTATGTATCTATATATCTATATCTATATGTATATTTAATTAGAGATAATGTAAAGTGATTAATTAACTTGTTAATGAGATGGATAAAGAAACAAAAACAACTTTTTAAGGTAACAAAATGCATGCTTATATAAAATTGTGAGAGTTAAGAATTGTGATTAGTGATGTAATCATAAAATGTGATTAGTTGATAGAATAAAATGAATTTAGTGAAAAGTATTGAGTATTGGTTTTGTTATATGGTTGTGCAAGAGCAAGTGCAAGTTTTGAGTATTGGTTTTGTTTTCTAACTTATCATTTAGCTTAGATTGACTCAGAAACCGTAAACCATGGATAAGACATGGATGTATTCCAATCGATTGTCGAAAGAGTACGAGAACGGGGTATCGGAATTCGTTAAGTTTGCTGTTGCGCACGCCGAAGACCCCGGTCGAATGACATGTCCTTGTTTGTGTTGCTGTTATGGGAATCGGGTTGACGCGGTTCAGTTGGCATCGCATCTAATACGGTATGGAATTGATAGAAGTTATACATGTTGGAATATGCATGGTGAGAAAAGTGACGGGAATGATGAATCGGGGGATAATAGGACCTATGCTTCAAACGACAATGGCATAGATACATACGATTATGATCGAGTTGAAGAGATTGCAGAAGCGCTTGAAGAAGATCTTAATGATTGTCCCAAAATGTTCGAGAGGTTGGTAAGCGATGCAGAGAAACCGTTGTATAATGGTTGTACAAAATTCACAAGATTGTCTGCGGTATTAAAGTTGTACAACTTAAAGGCGGGCAATGGATGGTCGGATAAAAGTTTCAGAGTTATTAGCCCTTATGAAAGATATGCTACCAGAGGATAATGTTCTCCCCAATCGAACGTATGAGGCCAAAAATATGTTGTACTCTATTGGCATGAGCTATGACAAGATACATGCCTGTCCAAAAGATTGCGTTTTGTTTCGGAACGAGTATGCATCGTTAAATGAGTGTCCTAAATGCGGTGCCCCTCGATATAAGAAAAAGTTGTCTCCGGCAAAAGTCTTATGGTATTTTCCTATAATTCCGAGATTTAGATGGATGTATCGTAGTGAAACCGATTCGAGACACTTA